AACTAATTCAACCTGCTCATGGTGGTTTTGCTAGACTTACATCGGACACGTACTAATCTCTGTGAACCCGTTCCGGATGCTGCCAATCTATGGTCCTGATGTTCTTAATTCTTATAAGGGTAAAAATCGACTGGAGATGCCCCCACACGTCTACGCCGTAGCTGAGAGCATGTACTATAACATGATGGCCTATTCAACAAATCAATGTGTCATTATTTCCGGGGAATCAGGTCATTTCCACAATCACACCTTTTCCTGCAAACAATCCTTCATTGCTCTGACCCACAACTCATACTCGAACAGGCGCTGGTAAGACTGAAGCCGCGAAAAAAATCATGGAATACATTGCTGCGGTGGCCGGTGAAGAGCATGGTCAGGCAGGGAAAGGTATTACTGGCGTCAAGGATATGGTTCTCGCCACGAATCCACTTCTGGAAAGTTTCGGTTGTGCCAAAACTCTGCGAAACAATAATAGTAGCCGGCATGGAAAATACCTAGAGATTGAATTTGGTCCCAATGGGGAGCCGGTAGGAGCGATGATTACGAATTATCTCCTTGAAAAGGTCACTATTCAAAAACAGTTCCTCTGCCTTTGCCCACGCTCAATTTTAATTTTTCCACGTTTGCATGCAGGGTCGAATCGTGGGGCAAATCGACGATGAGCGGAATTTTCACATATTTTATCAATTCACCAAGGGAGCATCGGCACAACAACGAGAAGAATACGGTATTCAAGATCCATCGGCCTATTATTATACCTCTCGCGCCGGCTGTCTAGATGTACCGCAGATGGATGATGTTGATGAATGGCACCAAACTCTACAAGCAATGCAAACGATCGGATTGAGCTCAGACGAACAATCCAACATTTTACGGATGCTAGCTACGGTTCTATGGCTGGGCAATGTCCAGTACGCTGAAAACGATGAAGGACATGCATACGTAGTTGACGAAAGTGTAGTTGAATTTGCTGCTTACCTATTAGAAGTTGATGCCAACATGGTCAAGAAAGCCTTGACGAGTCGCACGATGGAAACTCAACGTGGAATGAAACGCGGAAGTGTTTACGAGGTCCCCTTGAATGCAGTTCAGGCAGCTGCTGCCCGTGACGCTCTGGCCAAGGCGGTTTACAATAATCTGTTTGAATGGATCGTTGCTCGAGTCAACATTTCCATGAAGTCTCGCACATCTGCTTCTTACGTCATCGGCGTTCTTGATATTTATGGATTCGAGATTTTTGAGCGTATGTTCACATTCCCCTCAGTTATCAGTTCACATTAGTTCTGATGCTCATTCAACCATTCTTTTTTCGTTATTTTAAACCCTTGCGTTTCCCACGCTATTGGGCTCCTGGTAATCTTGACAGACAACTCTTTTGAGCAATTGTGTATTAATTATGTCAATGAACGTCTTCAGCAAATTTTTATTGAACTCACTCTCAAGAAAGAACAAGAGGAATACGCCGCCGAGCAAATTACATGGACACCCATTAAATTTTTCAATAACAAGATCGTTTGCGATCTCATTGATGAGAAACGACCTCCTGGTATCTTTGCAGCCATGAATGACGCTACAGCTACAGCCCATGCCGACTCATCCGCTGCAGACAACTCATTTTCCCAACGTACGTCTATGTTGGCCAGTAACCCGCATTTTGAGGCGCGTGGAAACAAATTTTTAATCAAGCACTACGCTGGTGATGTCTTATATGACATCCAGGGAATGACCGACAAGAACAAAGACGCTCTGGGTAAAGATCTCTTGGAGCTAGTCCAATCATCTAGCAACACGTTTATTACCGGTCAATTATTCACGGAGAAAATAGACGTCAACTCCAAGAAACGACCACCCAGTCAGGGAGACAAGATCAAAGTGTCTGCCAACGCCCTTGTTGAAAAGTTAATGCGCTCTCAACCCTCCTACATCCGAACCATCAAGCCCAACCAATCCAAGTCACCCACTGAGTACGACTCTCCAGCCATCTTGCATCAAATTAAATATTTAGGTTTACAAGAGAACGTCCGGATTAGACGAGCTGGTTTTGCTTATCGAAACACCTTCGAACAAGTCGTTCAGCGGTTCTACCTTTTGTCTCCAGCAACCTCTTATGCCGGTGATTATATTTGGAGTGGAGACTCACGTTCTGGCTGCGAAAGAATCCTAAAAGACGTTGGTATTGCTCGCGAGGAATGGCAAATGGGTACCACCAAGGCTTTCATCAAGAATCCTGAGACGGTGAGCCAAGTTTCCAAGAACATATGCATTCATTGGCTTGCTTATCACTTGCCGAGTTGTCTCAACAGCTTTTTGCCCTTGAGCACATGCGTGATCGATACTGGCACAATATGGCAGGGAGAATACAAAGGGCGTGGAGAAACTATGTGAGATATCGACACGAATGTGCGACCCGAATTCAACGAGCCTGGAGGAACAATAAAGAAGGGATCGTTTATCTCCAATTACGTGATGCTGGCCATCAACAGCTCGGTGGCAGAAAAGAACGCCGGAGATTTAGCTTGTTGGGATCACGCAAATTCCTTGGTGATTACTTGAATGTCGGTGGCATGAACGGCAAGACCAAAAAAAGTGCATTAGGCGAGATGCTATACAGCAAGATGGGACTGAGTTCCGGCGAACGAGTAATTTTCAGCTGCAAAGCTCAGATCTTAGTGTCCAAATTGGGACGGTCGAGCAAACTATCACCAAGGTTCTTGGTTTTAACGGATCGCGCAGTTTACATCTTAATCACTCAAATGGTTCCCGGTAATGACGGCCAAAAACGCTCAGAGACCATTGTTGAGCGGAAGATCAATGTGTCTGTGATCAATTCTGTTGGAGTATCTCACCTGAGGGATGATTGGATTGTCAGTAACTTCATTCCGGAACTTGGTGTTTGCGAGGAATGAGCTGACCGTACTTCGTATCGGTAGGTTCTGAACGTCAGCAATACAGAAGAGCAAGATCCACTTTTGTCGTGCGCGTTCAAGACGGAGCTCATCACTCGTTTGAAACAACTATCAGCCTCTTTAACCGTAAACATAGGCCCGACGTAAGTCTTTTTTTGGTAACGATCTCTTGTGGATGGGGTGCATCTATTGAATTTGTGTTATTATAGGATATCATATCGGAAGAAGAAAGACAAGATGGCTGTGATCAAATTTCAAAAAGATGAGAATATCCAGCGAGGAGACGTTTACAAGAGTCACACTGTCTCGGTACCCTCTGGACTACCGGGCACAAGCGTATCTTCTCCGTTCCCCAAGAAAAAGCCGGGCTTGGTTAGGCCGATCACCAGCGGCAAATTGTTGCGCAAAGGAGGCCCTTCAGATAATGTGGGGGCTGTTTTCTACCATCATGCATTCATTCGTTTTGTTGTCCTGGCTGATATTTTATCTGCACAGAAACCAAAACCACAGGCTCGCCCAGCCCCTCAGGCTCGTCCTCTCCCCGGTGCCGGCGCCAGAGCGCCTGTTGCACCTGGATTCAAATCTGCAGGTGGGCCGGCACCACCGCCACCTCCTCCACTTCCCGTCGCCTCAAACTCTTCAAACCGTGCCCCCCCACCGCCACCTCCTCCGCCTCCCGTCGCCTCAAACTCTTCAAGCCGTGCCCCCCCACCGCCATCAGGCTTCAGAGCCGCGGGTGGAGCTCCAGTCCCACCACCACCGCCACCACCACCGCCCATGACCTCAAATTCCTCAGCTCGCGCACCGGTTGTAAAGCCTTCAGGCGCCGCACCTCCCGTCAAAGCACCCCCGCCGCCCCCACCACCCCCCGTAAGAGCTCCCAGTCAGCCAGAGGTGGCTCTATACCTAGCGTTGGTGTCTAAGCTACAACCGGAATCCTAGAATCGCTCAGCTTACGTGCCGTCTTCTTGTTCAAATCCCACAGCATCTGCCCATTTGAAACCGAAGAAGAAGGCGAGATTGCTTTATCCAAGGGTGACTTGGTTGAAGTCATACAGGAAGGTGAGTTGGCCAGTGGGCTTTCCTGAATAATTTCGAGTTGATGTATCTGTGGAACTTTGTTGGCAGCGGACAACGGCTGGTGGCTAATTAAAAAGGGTGGCGAGCAAGGTTGGGCGCCGTCGAATTATTTACAACTTGAGCCACGACCTCTGGCGGCGCCCAGCCGACCCGCTGCACGACCACCACCAGCAGTATCGACCTCGACCTCTCAAAGCTCTGGCACAAGATCGTCGCCATCGATCGGACTGGGTTTGAAGGTGGCAGATTCTTCCTCTGCACCGGTGGCCGTGATGCCTGGGATGGGACACGTGAACGGGCTCGCGGGGATTTTAGCAGCTAAACGTGCTGCGGCAGCTGGCCAGACGGGCGAGTCACAACAAATTCCCACAAATAGTCCCACTCCCTCGTTCAAGACCGGTTCCAAAGGCGCTCCCCCTCCACCACCACCCAAACTCAAACCGCCTACTTTGGCTCCTAAGCCTTCCGCTGCCGGCAGTGGCCCTCCGCCGCCCGTATTGTCCAGTAAACCTAACTCACGACCTGGCGGAAGCCTTGGCGTTGGTCAAATGGACTTGGCTGCTGCCCTCGCTAAACGCACGGGTCGAACTGGATGAGCTGCATATTCCAAAAAAATATCACCCTCCTGCGCGTATGATAACTTGCATGAGGCCTGTTGTTGTTTGCTTGCAGACGAATTATCGGCCATACATAGATTTTTTTTTTGAAAAAAAAGAGAGAAAAGGAAGCAGAAAAGGGATGGATGTACGTGTGTGTTATCTCGCAGTTATCTTCTTCCGAACCCTCGGATGGTGATTATTATTTTTCTTTACAGTTGCTTAATTAAATATATCTGAATGTAAATTGTAATCTTACAAAACATCGGCTTGTCATTTATTTAAATCCATCAATACTTCCTATTTTTTTCTCGTTGATATGCTGCTTGGATTTACCGACCTTTTGCTGCTCCCGCGGTCAGTTCTCCGGCCTTCTGAAAACGAAATTCAGATTCCTTGATTTTACCGAATTGTACATGCTGAGATGTCCGAGCGGTCTAAGGAGCTGGATTCAAGTGACAATAGTACTCGCTTCCCCTAACGAGGTGGATTTCCCAGTAGGGCAACCTGCGGGGGTTCGAATCCCCCTCTCAGCATTAATTTTTTTCCGATTCCCGTCCTGTTGGCACAATGTGTGGCACATGCGGTTCCGTTTAATTCGGAGTGAACAATTTTTTTTTGACTGGAGAATGCATCGCGTGAATGATGCTTGTGGTGCTGTAGAGAATTTTGTTCCTCATGACAATGGTCGAATGTAGGCTTGTTTTGGACTCAAGGGTCCGCCGGTATCAGGCTTTCCTTCCATGCGTGACGCCTCAACACTTTGGTCGTGGGCCCAACCCGCCGATCGTTCTTCCGTTAACTTTTATGTGTTGTTGTTGAGATTTTCTCATTTGAGAAAGAAAAGCAGGGTGGATAATCACTATTTCTATAAGCTTCTGACGGTTCAAGGTCGATGTGGCTGGCTCCTCGTGACGATGGTTTTTCTTCCTTGATCATTTCAACAGAAGGGGAGCCACTGATTTTCTTTGACCTTTGTCCAAATTCTCTTATTTCAGTAGGTATTTTTTTATGTTGGCTTGAAAGGAAACATTTCAGGTAGTAAATACATTTCAATGTGAGTTGAATGAATTTGATGAGGTGATTTCGACGTGCAGGGTGGACCGACATTTTTTCTGTTATTTTTTGTTTTAATCATGATCACTCCAACCTCGTTTTATTTGGGTTGGTTACTACAACAAAAGAGAGCAGTTGGATAAAAAGAAGAGAAAAGCTTAATAAACTAGTATACATATATATATATTGTATATATATTGTATATTTTGTCCCTGCAGTATTCAATGAAGGGATGGAAGATTACAGTTAAGTTTTCCCGCCTGTGAAAACCGTTAATGTCTATGAGAATTTTGGAATGATAGAAGTGGATGTGTATGACGGCTGTACCAATGGGGAAAGCAAGATCCATGTTTCGAAGGTACGAGAGGAACAAAAAAACAGCGCAAAGAGATCGAAGGTGAGGACGAGATTGTGAGGGAATCTCAAGGGGGTGTCGGTGGAGGGGAGTTGGCTTTTTGAATGGCGGCCAACAAATCGAGGGCATGATGTTCCATAACCTCGAACATATTCTGGGTTGACAACATCATGATTTTGCGGGTAGCCCAGGAGGAGAAGGCTCGGACGATGGGGGGGGCAATCGTCTCTTGGATGAAGTTGTGCGGATAGTTTTGCGGCAGCCAGGATACTGCCCACTTCATAAAACTCCCCCGCCTGCGTAACGAGGAATCCACTATTCTTGACGTCTTTTCTCGCGTCAAATACTTCGAGACTATCGGCGTTAAGATCCCGTTGATTAGCTTCTCCAATTCGGCTCGCGCTACTTCCGCTATCAATCCCACACAGTAGCAACATCAAGGTGCCTTGATCGATTAGAATCTTGTCCTATCGTCGAAATTTGGCGGGAGCAGTAGTGACAGATAAGCTTACCTTTGACATTGCTAGGTAGGTTAGAGTTTTTGGGCCTGGCGCCTTCTGGATGCGGCTGAATTTCACTTGGAAGGATATGATTTTTGGCGGGTTGTGAGCCACCGCCCAGGTAAACGACCGATGGTCCGTCTGCAGGGCTACCACTGAATTTAGAAGGAGTGGCTTTTGATGGCAAAATTTTATTGACTTCCCCCAAGCTCAGATGCCCAGTAGATTCCACGACGGGAGAGGGAGCTCAATTGCGGAAAGAAGGGGGGAAGAATGGGTTGATTTTAGTTTTACTTTCTACAGTCCTCCGGCTCAAGAATAAAGTTTCCTTCTTAACTGACTAGGGGCCCGATGCAGGAGTGGTTTGATGCCATTCACGACCGAATACACCGGGCTGAGCGGGCCGAGCTCCCACCATGACGACGGAGGCACTTAATGAATTGACCAAATGTGGGTCGGTGATGTCAATTTTTATAAGAGTCAAGTGGTCGATGGCTCCAGCTCACAATTATTTCGTTCCGTCTGATGGTGTAAATCTGTTTCGATTGTGCTTGGCTTGATAGCATCTGCCTTGGCTGATTTTGCTTCGTTCATAACACCCGTACTTTTGAAGGTGGAAGAGAGCTTCTTGAAATTCGCCGCTTTTTGTACGTTGTGGGCTGCCTCCGAGAATGACTGTGCTGATGCTAGAGAAAGGGCCAGTCAACTGTTTTCCTTCCCTTCTCTCGTGGTTTTTATTTATTTTTTGGACCAAAATTTATCTGTGGAGTGAATTGCCACTGACCAGATTGTCGAGGTGTGTATAGTTTCAGTCGCCTCAGGAGCGCTTTGAACAGGTGGATAACGGTTAGCTTGTTTTCCATCATTTCCTTGAGTCTTTTCCATAAGGATGGTGATGCTAAGCCAAAAAAACAGATGCACTCAATCACCTGGACCTCACAAGCTGAATGAATCAAGTAGACATAACTTTTTTCGGGATTTCGACTTACATTTCTTCCTTTTCAGGTCATCTTTGAAGGAGCTGCCGAAGCGGAATTTCAGAGGCTTGTCTGGAGGCTTGGGTTTGAATGGTTTTGGATTTTTGACCGCAGCTTTCTGAGATGGAAAGGAAGTCCGCGTGTTGACTTGCTGTTCGGCGGGGTTATTCTGGGGGGGCTTTTTCTTGAAGAGTAAACTGTTTTCTTGCGATTCAGGAGAGGGGACCTTTCGCGCAGTGTTCTCTAAGCTGATAGAGTTCGAGGGAGTTGGAGATTTCTTGGGCAGTGGCTTGATGCTTCCCAGTTTTCCGTCTGCTATCGCATGGGGTGAAGGGTGATTGAGGGCTGGCATTTGCAGAGCGGAGGCGGCTTTCGATGCATCGCTCGTAGCGGGGGACACCACATGCACTGAATCTGAGGCTAAGAAGGGCCACCTTGGGAACACCGGTGCGGCGTTGGAAGATGATGAGACAAGACAAATGATGCCAATCCAGCACACGAGTAGCAAGTCGGTCCTCGGAGTGTTGGTGGGTATGCGAATATTAAAAAGAATGGGTTGAAAAAACATGGCGACAGCCTCGCTCCTTGCGACGACGTATCCTTTGTTACTAATCACCACTTCGCGCAGGTAAAAGTCACGGGGAGATTGGTCCAGGGGATAGCGCTACTCTTGGTTGAGTGCGGCCAAACAAAAAAAAAAAAGGAAGAAAAGAATCTGTTAGTGGGTTCTCCAGGCACCCACCGGAACATGAAACATATTGTCACAGGAAACCAAAGAAAATGTTCGGAAGTTTGACGATCTGTAGTGCCATTGCTCAAGACAGGAATGGGCGACTTCGACCTGAATATAGTTCTGCATGCTGCTCAGAGCCCCAAACCCGGACCAGCCAGAGTGTACAATTTTAACTTATGGCACCCACCTCCAACTTGGAGGGGCCAGCCCGAAGGAACGGATCCTCTGAACGCCAGAGAACAGGCAATGTAAGGACGGGTCGTTGGCATGAATTATAAACGAAATTTCGAACAATTTCGGAATTAATTTTGAAATAACCGGGAAATTTTTTTAAAAATGAAATTTTAAAAAGAAAATCTTCAAAACCCTGAAAACAGGTGTCGGGACAAGGGGTGGAATTATAAACCCCTTGGCCCAACACCCGCGAATACCGCTATACATGCCTGTATGGCAGCATTGTGCCACATTTTTGATTCGACGGTGGGGGGCGGTTGGCAGAAGCAGTCCCTTTCCGTGTCCAGGCCATCCCCAGCCGCAAAATGTTCCCTACTTATCTGCTGGACTCGACTGTTGAGTTTGCAGCCCTCTTGCTTTGGGCAGAAGAGCACAATAAACCCTTAGAACACAGGTACATTCGAGCCCGCCGCCATGCCTTCAAGCGACACCATGGGACGACGAACGAATTCCAGCCAAACAGTTTCACCAGCTCTTCCGGATGACACTTGTGGATTTCCGGTGGTTAGCAAGCATCTTACGCGAGGAATTGGAGCAAGACCCGCTACGCCGAGGTGATCCCCTTAATACCGTGGAAGCCTAAGTGGGTGTAAGCTTGTACCGGCTGGTCCATGGTTGCACCTACGTGACCATAGGACATGTCTTCAATATTGTGACAAAAACCGCTGATCAAGCCTCAGGCAGGTTTGTCCTAAGTGTGCTCAAGATCCTCCAACTCAGATCTGTTAGGTGAAGTACTCCGCATCACTAAAAATATTGTTGGTTCCTAGCTGTTTTTGACATTTTAGACGAGTGTCTTCCAGCTATCCAGATATTAATTCGACTGAACACTGAGATAGCATCAAGGAATCTTTTGAAGAAAAGCATGGAATACCCGGCATTGTCGGGGCAATTGATGGCACGCACATTCCTTTATTGATGCCCGCCGGCGACAGATGGAAAGGCTATAGTAATCGTAATTGCTTTTCAATGTGTGGTTGACGGGGATGGCAACTTCAGGGATGTGGGTCCCTGGTTTCACTCCCTCTTTTTGCCTAGATGTGACCGCTTACCACCTGTTTTCACTTCCAGACAGATTTGTGGTGGGGCGCCTGGCTCGGTTCATGACAGTCGTGTTTTCAGAAAGTCGGAGATCGGGCACAGTTTGATACCCCACTCACAGAATCATCAGATCATTCCACCCGGCTCGTACTGGATCGGTGATGCCGGCTACCCGGCGGATGTGGGTGTGCTCATACCTTACCCTTTGGTTGCAACCCCAGAAAATGAACATTTCAATTTCATCCACTCCTCAACACGTATGGTTGTCAAACAGGCCTTTGGCCGCCTGAAAAACAGATTCCGGATTCTGTTGACAGCTCAGAGGGCCAATGTGATCCGGGCTAGGAACAACATGTTTGCCACTATGGTCCTACACAATATACTCAATCGGCGAGGTACTCTCTATATCCAAGAGTGGGATAAGCGTACCCCGGGAGAAGCCACATATGATGAGGTTCTGGGGACTAATCTGCCCCAAAATCATGACGAGAGCTCAACTGAAGATGGCAGGCAGACCATGAGTGCTATACGAGATCAGATCCGATTGGATCAGTGCTCATAACTACTATTCATAATTGTAGAATGGGGGTTTGATCATTTGTTCTAGAGTAAAACAAAAGAACTTGTATTCACTCCGTCT